ATAAGGCACTCATATAGACCTATATAATGTTATATATTTAACGGAAAAATACTTGAAAACAACTATAAAAGAAAAACTGCATTGTTGATTCAATTGTGATATAAAAATAAAATTTATACCATCAAGTTTATTCTTTTAAAACAATTGACGCTTTGGTATAACGTGACGGCCCATTATGTAATACCGTACTGTTTGCATGGAGTGGACGTTGTAATGCTACTTTACCATGAGTGGACACTTACGTTTCATTTATGGTTTTGTTCATCCGGGATCGAGAGAAGATTCAATGTTGGTTTAATATTGGAGGGCTTGAATACACCATTCTGCTTAAGCACGAGATATAAGGATACTTTCCAGTACTTTCTCTCAAGGCTGTATTGAGGTATTTTCAACAGGCTAACATGACTACCAATACAGATTTTTCATGCTGCAATCATCCTTGCTACAGGAAACGTGACGATAAATGATTTACAGTTCTGAACAGACGCCGACGGCAGTTATATTAGACTTCTAGTAAAATTTGGACCGTCCAATCGTAGCAATCAGACTGTGGTGTAGACCTGTAGGGGAGCTTGGGGTTCCCCTCTCGAAAAAAAGATTTCGCCCGCCCAGTCGTGACTACACGCTCACTGGAATATTCGTAATAATAGTAGTTATAACATCACCTTATAACACTTATTTATTCGTTATATTTATGATGCGTCATGCATCAGCCGAATGTAGCACAATTGTTTATCAGTGTGATTAATCTGCTCAATAAACAATTTCAATTACTTGTGCAAATATGAAGATGTGGGTAACCCACATCTTTATATCGGACTTTTCATGGATCTCGACCTGATATGTAGGCCCTCTTTAGGCTAGACGCGCCTAGACGGTTGGAAGCGACGATCGAAGAAAAACGGTTTGCAAGCCAAGGACTTCGCTGACTTCCATTCCTCAGTATTAAAATCCTTCCATTGATGGGCTCTGTCTAAAACTTTCTTCCAGCGTAAATATTGTAACCTTTTCGCCTGCAGTTGGCTCAACATGAATTACATAGGAGCCAGTGAGCTTCCATGACGGCCTAGGCTCGGACATGACACGTTGTTGTTTGTTTTTATTTCGCGACGTCATCAACGAGTACACATTCATTTATCCACCATCAACTAAACTGCCTTAAAAAAAATTGGTTTAGTTGATGGTGGATAATGAATAGCAAACATGGAGGTTGTGTGTTCGATTCCCACACAACCCATTTTTTTTATTTTTATTTTTTTTAAGGCAGTTTAGTTGATGGTGGATAGGCCTAAGGAATAGCAAACCTGGTGGTTGTGTGTTCGATTCCCACACGAACCAATTTTCTTTTTTTTTTTGGCCCGACGTCGGTAAACGTTTGAAATTTACAACCTCTAACCAACGTCGGCCCAACTGTTGTCACCAACCTCCACTAAAGTTTACCGATGTCGGGCCAACAAAGTACCGTGACGTTGGGACAACGTCTATAATCACATCCTAATATTTATTACAACCTCTTACCAACGTCGAACCAACAGTTGTAACCAACCTCCATTTCAAACGTTTACCGGTGTCGGGCCAATAGCGTACTGTGACGTTGCGACCACGTCTATAATCACATCTAGGCCTAATATTTACAACCTAACCAACGTCGGCCAAACGGTTGTAACCAACCTCCATAATATATATAATTATAGACGTTGTCGCAACGTCAAAGAGAGAGCAGCTTAGCTCAGTCGGTTAATCTGGTGGCAGCCACTGTGTGTGTGCTGAACCGTGGAGATCTCTAGGTCCCCGGTTCAATTCCCATCGCTGCCTCACCTTGTGTTTCAGCTAGAGGGCTGAAATACAAGTTACATAGCGCACCGTCTTTCGGATGAGACGTTTAAGCCGTTGGTCCTGTGTGCATTTAAGGCCCATGTGAACGTTAAAGAACACAGTACACTCTTCGGAAAAGAGTAGGGGATTGTCTCCCGGTGTACTGTCCAATCACCACCAGAAGGACCCCACTGGAAATAAGTGTTTTTCTAGACTTTCGTGGGCTATCCTTGGTGTTTACACCAAATAAATAAAAAGTACCGTACCTTGTTGGCCCGACATCGGTAAACGTTTGAAATAGATGTTGGCTACCACCGTTGGGCCGACTTTTCTTAGAGGCTGTAAATATTATGTATAATTATAGACGTTGTTGCAACATCACAGTTCTCTGTTGGCCGACGTCGGTAAACGTTTGAAATTTACAACTTCTAACCAACGTCGGCCCAACTGTTGTCACCAACCTCCACTAACGTTTACCGACGTTGGGACAACGTCGAACCAACGTCGGCCCAACGGTTGTAACCAACCCAGGGACGTATCCAGGGGGGGG